GCCTCACAATGTATGCGTGATTTAGCTCTCGAATTCCATTGCTATTAAGCTCCCAGCTCTCTCAAATCTCCATTGCTAACTTAATCATCGAAGTGCCCACACCGGGTAAAACACCCCAGAACTCTCTGACTGCCTTATTTTCCAGCAGGCAGTGTCTAGACCGCACATCATCAAAGACGAGAGCACAAATAGAAGTTTAAAATGGGGAGATAATAGATATAAAAAAAAGTTACATTTTCAGTTAACTAGTATGTAAAACCTACACTTAACCGAAGCAACCAATATAATATCATATAGAATACTATATTACATATCATATAACTAGTATACTATTATATAGGGCTGGTAATTTTGACCCCAACCCACTTGGCCACCCACTTCAAAATCCACCCATTCTAATGGTGGATCAAGATGGGTCACTCAACCCATTAGGGTCAAGGGAAAAGGGTCAGGGTGGGATTGGGTCAAAGGTTACCCATTGGCCCTCCATTTCTTCTTCGTTCGATTTTTTTTCTACTTCGACATTTCTTATTCTCGTTGGACTTCAAAACGGCCGATGATTTTCATTGCCGCTGCCGTTTAGGGCTCTCTCAAGTCACTGCCACAATTCTCATTGTCGTCGTTCTCACCACCACCGGCAATGGTTCCGCATAAGTGGCAGATGAAGATTTCAGAGCTAGCTATTACAGAGCTTCACCCAAGCTTTGAATCAACGACTAGAAATTGAAGAGAGGAGATGATGCCTGCGATTGAACATAGCAGACGATACTAATGATTGAACAAAGGACGACAAACAAGAGCGAGCAGTCAGGAATAGACGATGCCGACGAGTGAGACGAAACCATCTGATCCGAGAAGCACCACCGTAGCCAAATGTTTTGAGATTTGTTTATCATTTTTTATATTTTATAAAATTATTTTTTATTTTCTGCATATTTTCTGTTATTCTAATTCTAATATTTGGATGAAACATATATTTTTTGAAAAATTATCATTTTGTGTTTTCTGTAATTTTATATTTTTACCTGAGGTATATAATTTCTAGAAATTTTTGTTATCATTTTTTGCATCTTTTTTCCTGTGATTATTGTTTTTAGTTGAAATATATAAAATTTTGAGTTTCTAATATTTTATTTATTATTCTAAAATATTTTAATTTTTGTCTGAAAAATATATTTTCTGAATTTTTTTATCATTCATATTTTATAGTAATTTCTATAAATTTGTGCATTTTTTACAATTTTTGGCATTTTCCTACAATTCTTTTGTATTTTTTGTGTTTCCTACAATTTTTATACTTTGATGCAATTTTTGGCATTTTCTTTAATTTTCTACAACTTTTACAATTTCTCTTTTATATTTTTATTCATTTTTTATTTTCTGATTTTTTTTTTTACACTTTCTGATGTTTTACAAGAAATATAAAATTTTTACCACTTATTGTGTTTTTTATGCATTTATTTTCATTTAAAAAATTTGATTATTTATGTTTTTCGGATTTTGTAGTTTAAGGTATAGCCATATGGTTTTATGCAATTGGAATCGAGAAACAGTAAAAAAAGAAGGGTCTAACTTGAATAATTGAATTAGAGGGTCAAGGTCAGAGTGGGTTGTGACCCTCTCTTTGACCCACAAACATGGGTGGCAAATGGGTTAGTGAGTCAATATGGGTGGATTGGTACTCAACCCACACCCAATCCAACCCAATTCATCCATTTGCCACCCCTACTATTATATAATATTATATATATTATTTACAATATAATATATTACATATATTTCGAGTATTTATACTATATAAGTATATATTAATATATAATATATTATAAATTCATAAAAATCGAAGAACCGGAGATCAACCTGTTAACCATTTGGTTTCAGTTAGGTTTCAATTCACGATTTTCCAAACATCAAGGATCAGTTCGGCTTGGAAGAAAAGCCCTCGGTATCACCCCTAGTTTTCTAAAAAACATACATCTTTGGACTGGTAATTACTAGCTTTTGAATCATCTTATTACAATATCAGAATTCAGATAGGAAGCTTAAAAATTATTTACTGATGTTCGGTTTGTTCAACTAATTCACTAATTTGAATGAAAATTATATAAGAAGTCCACGATATCAATTATTCAGTTAGAGGCCTAAGACAGCATAGCAGCTGTCCTGCTGAAATGTGACGTTCTTAAGTCAGTGAAATGTTAATAGGACTGTAGGAGATCCGCACTGGTTGATTATTCATTGATTGTAATTTGGATCGACAACATCATCTCTATATCATGGCTCCCAAAAAAGGCTTAAATCATAGGCCTATCGTGGATTGCGATGGGTTTAGGACCGACACATAAGGCCATGTTTGATTCAATTTTCATTTTTTTCATTCTTAGTTAAGATCAAATTTCAAAATAGACAAGAATGGGAAAAAATAAATAGAATGAGAAAATATTGCTATGAACCAAACACTTTTTTTTAAATGAATTTTTTTTAGATTGACAAGTGTCCTATGTAAAAGTACTTTTGTGAAAATACTTTTTATTCATGGAAGTACTTTTATAAAAGTACTTGTGTAAAAGTATTTTTATAAAAGTACTTTCATAAAAGCACTTTCATAAAAGTTCTTTTGTAAAAGTATTTTTATAAAAATGATTTTATTTTTTTGTTAAAAGTACTTTTACAAAAGTGTTTTCATAAAAATACTTCCACGGTAGTGTGCTAGTAGACAGCTATGGCAGCAGTTTTATAAGCATGTTTTCCTCAAAGAATGAAAATGAGCAAGATGGGCCATGATTATTTTTCATCTGCAGGTAGACCTATTCATGGGCCGGGTGGCCCGACGGGCCGGCCCGGCCCCCGAACGGGCTTGAATACCTATATAGGCCCGCGGGCTTAACCTCGGACCAAAAAGCCCGGCCCACAATAAATTCGAACCGAGCTCGGGATTTGCCAAAATAGCCTGGCCTGAGCCCGGCCCGACCCGTCCTATAACTAAACCTAAAAACCCTAGTCGAATACGCCTCTTTTTTTCACCTCTTTCCCTTCTTTTTTCAACCGAATTCTTCTCCACACCCTCTTTCCCTTCTTTATATTCTTTTTTTAATATAAATAAATTTTGAATTTATATATTTTTTAATGTAAATAAATTCTTATTTATATTGATTATTGAATAGGGAAAATATCTAATTATTTTTATTAGGTCGGGCTTCCGGCTCGGGCTCGGGCTTCGGGCTTTTTATTAGGGCCGGGCTCGGGCCCAAGTTGTAAGCCCGTTGGTCAGGCCGGGCTCAGGCTCGGGCCTAACATATTTCTGTTAATGAAGAATAAAAGCCCGGCCCGAGCCCGAGCCCGATTCAGCCCGGCCCATGAACAGGTCTATCTGCAGGCTACCGCAATTTTTGTGCTATGGGCTGATTTTTCATTCTGAAAAAAAATGTGGCTCATGAGTCATGACAACAATTTTGTAACCAAACAACTTAATATTATTCATTCTTCCTCATTTTTTACCCAAAATAAACAAGAATTAAAAGAATAAAGTCCAAAACAGTGAACCAAAGATTTCGAAACAGAATCTAGATTCTGAACCCAAGCATTTGAAACTAGGACAGCACCACAAGCGGCAGCCGGGCTGTAACATGGGCAGATTGGGTTGTAGTTAGGGAAAACTAATACCCAGTTCTTAGTTCAATCAAAAGTGTAGATTGCTTAGTTGGATACTTGGATTGACGGTGATCATATTTATTTTTTTTGTTACTTGTTTAGTTACTTAATAATACAAATACAAATATGTATGATGATATAAATACATACAAAATAAAAAAATACAAAAGTTTTATATTCTACATATTTGTATTTATACTCCTTTCAAATTGAGCCTATGGAATTGTTGTAAACGCTGCCTTTGTACAGCGAAAGTTGTTGGACTACCGAGTACCAAGGCTTAAATGAAGCCTATATGGGAATATGGAAAAGCCCAGTCTGAAGCCCAAAAAATTCAACCCAAGTAAAACTTGGACAAGGGCCATTCTTGGGCAAAGCCCAGTCCAAAGTTTTGTATTGTTGATGTTGGGGCGTCCAAATTGGGTCCCTGTTGCTTTGTTTCAAAGTTTTAAACTGCAGCCAGTAGGCATACTGAAATAGCTTAATACCATGGAAAAAGTTATGGAGTATGGCAATATGATCCTCCATTAAATGGAATTGAGTCCTCCATTACAAAGCCATGCGTGCACTGTGGCGAGAGTCAGCATTTAATGAATTATGACTTGAACATAATCTGGACTAATCATCAGCTTGGAACATGATCGACCATGTCCTTTACAAGAGACAAGTCACACAGTAAGCTCCCATTTAAATTCCAACATATCACGCGATCGAAGTTATTCTGATGACGCTCATCATGTTGGGCCCCCATCATCTAAAGCGTTCCACGCAGCTGTAATGAGTGTCCTGTTGTGGGCCTTGTGACCCAGCAACCAAGAGATAATAGTGTAATACCTTCCACTATTTGGTTTGGTCCCTGCTACCTTTCTCCCTTTTTGAGAGCTAAAGTGCCGTTGCTCTCCTTAAGCAGGCCCAAACACGCATTGTCTTAGAACTACAACCGTTGGATTGAAAAGATGCACTGAGCTTCAACGGAGATGCTCTAATACAAGTCCCGAGATGATACCCAATGTATTCTACTAATCGATAGGAGATCATCAATATGCAGAGATTTGTTTTTTGTCTGCTAGGGTTTAGTCGTTGACTACATGGATAGAACTATGAAGTTGATGTAATTCACGTGAATCTTCAATCTTTTTCGTTTTTCCTTTTTTTTTAACCAAATTTTAGGTCCGTAAGAAAGTAAATAATAATATTAAAGATTAAATATAAATGTAAGTAGAGAGTAGTAAGAGTGAGAGAGGCTTCTGTTAGAACCTATAATTCCTTTTATATTATGCTCCCAGACCCAGAGGCCAGAGTCCCAGTTTCAGTTTGGCGGAGATTCTCCCTCCCTGCTGTAAGTTTCTTTTAAGACCCCTCCGCTCTCTCATATTTATGGATAAAGCAGTTTCTCGATGCTGTTTTATTTTCCCTTTTCTTCCAAGTTATGTTCGAGCTAAAAAAATGAATATGGTGAGTTTGTTCAGGTGAAAACTTTCGATCAGTTCGGTAGAATTTGGAGAGGAAGAGTCGAAAATAAGAAGTCCATCTAGAAGCTTATCGCCATAGCAAAGGAAAGCCTTTTCGGACTGAAATTCTGAGAAGTTGTACCAAGCGCTCCTCTATTTGTTTGCAGAAATCGTCTTCAAAAGTTCTCGAAACAAAAAGTTACAAGAAGGAAAAGAAACCATCGCAGAACATCAGCTGGAAGAATTGTAATTACAAACTTCATGGCTTCATGGATCGGCCTCCAAAGAAAATGCTCTGAGCTGTTATAATCAGAGAAGATGCATTAAACTTAACAAGAAAAGTGCAGTTAACTGAAATATTCTTATTGTGGTAGTTCTGCAGGAGAATCAGAGATCCAGGAAGAAATTAAGCAAGGTATGGGAGAAAACATGCAAAGTCTGCTGAACAATTTCTGGCACGGATCTGAATTTTATAAACAATTCTCTTCAGCAAAGTTGTGTCGGCCATTAAAGAAGCGACCTGCTAAAACCTCTCTGCTATTCTGCTTCATCCTACTTATCGGCGCTTTTATTTCAGCTCACTGGATTGCCGCTGTAAGTAGTGCCAAGTACTCTTAAAACCCTATTCAAATTACTAATACCCCTAACTAATAAGCTTCCCGAGTCTCCGACAAGTATCATTCGGCTCGGCTGATCCCGCTAATAGGTACGTTTTACTGTATTAGATTAGTAAGTAGTAACCACTGACCAGTGACCAGCGTATCTAGATTCACGAAGGAGCCGGTTCCTCCCAACATGCGCCGTGAGTCTCGGTTTAGGTCTCACTCCTCTCTTTCTCTCCTCTTCAATTGAAAATTGAAATGACTACTAGGCTTTAGCCTAATGAGCCACACCTCTTTGGTCCGTTTCTTGTTTTTCAATTAGGTCGTTTTCTAGAGTTAGACAAAAAAATAGAAGATTGTGTCTCTGGCCATGCACGTGTCCTACGCATGGAAGAGTAGGTCCCACCATCTTTTATTTATACTTTGATCTCGACTGACACGATACTATATAGGGGGCCGGGCTTCCCGGCTTTTCCGCTTTTTCCTTACTGGAAAAGAATTTAGATTTGATTTTTAATTAAAAAAAAGGGTGATGATGATACACCCTATTGTTTATTATATTACATCTAAAATTCCAGGCCGTTGGATTTCCGAATCTCACCTCACTTTATGCATCTACGGCCAGGATACACTTTTGATTAATTGAATTACTTTTGCAGTCAATCTCAGGCGATTCGACTTCAACGCAGGGAGGGATAATAAGTTCTCAAGCAATTCACAAAACTTCCCTCCAGATTCAAAAGAACCTCAAGAAACCGCGTAGGAAACTTGAGCTCCCACTCAATTGCACGGCCCGAAACCTGACACAAACCTGCCCTGTGATTTATTCAGAAGCTTTTGAAGCAGACGGTGATAACTCTCCCAGTAGAGAATGCCCGGAATATTTTCGCTGGATTTACGAAGACTTAAGGCCATGGAAGGACAGAGGAATTTCGAAGGAGATGGTGGAGAGGGCGAAAAAGACGGCGAATTTTAGGCTGGTGATCGTGAGGGGAAGAGCTTACATCGAGAAATATAAGAGGGCGTTTCAGAGTAGAGACGTGTTCACGTTATGGGGGATCTTACAGCTTCTTAGGAGGTATCCGGGGAAGCTGCCGGACTTGGAGTTGATGTTCGATTGCGTTGACTGGCCGGTCATCAAATCACAATATTATCGAGGACCAAATGCGACGGCCCCACCACCGTTGTTTCGTTACTGTGGAGATCATAGAACGTTGGATATCGTTTTTCCTGACTGGTCGTTCTGGGGTTGGTAAATGAAACATCTTTTTCTTATTTCTCTCTCTCCTTTTTTTAATTTTTCCTGATTTTTCTTGCATTTTTTATAAAATATAGAATAAAAGTAAAAAAAAAAACACGTTTCAATCCTTTACCAACATCATATGAGACTGGGACTGCTGTTTATTGACTAAAATGGTTTTGTATTTGATTTATTTGGAAAACTAAGAAAATCAATGATAAACCCATTTATTAACATTTAGGTGTATGTTACGTCAGCAAAACAATGAATGAATGCCTATCCATTGAAGGAAACGTTAAAATGAAACTTCCCTCAACTATAGACATGCACATAAACTGAAGTCTATTTTTGCAACTCCTTATGCTTATGAATTCACATAATCTCCCTGCATTGCTAATTCTAGATCTACAACTAACAAACAACGTGCCATCTGTCCTTTAAACAAGAATTGAAAGAGAAAAATAAAATTCACATCAACCCCCACAACATCTCATAGCTCATTCGAGCCTTGTATTAGAAACATCTCTCGATGATAGTACAAGAAATGATGAGACATTATCGAGAGATATTCCCAATACATGATTAGGATGTGCTCTAAGACATAGTGGGGCACCTTTTGTGGGTTATAAGTGTTTATCAAAACGTTGTCATATCATCATCAAATCATCATTTTTTTCATCATATTCATCCGCATATATTGATATTCATAAAAATGAGTTTTTATTTATGTGTATACCAACCATTGGGGAGATTTTCATTTAACGTTTCATCCAATGTTGAGTATTTATTCACCATTCTATTGATCTATGTGAAACTTAGTTGTCAACAAACGATTTATCAAATACTGTTTTTTTTCTTTTTTTGTTTTATATATAAATCAAGTAAAAACGTTTATTTAAAAAATGAAAGCTATATCAAATACATACTAAATTGTTAAATATGTACGTGGATGATACAGACCGATCATCCATGTGGACTGCAACCACATAGGTCCATTATCTTAGAAGTTAGAAGTAGGAAGATGTGACGTGTAGATGAACAAAAAGTCGAAGTCTGTCTCCACGAAAGTAATTGGACGATAGCGGTGCAGGCCAGAAATCAATATAAAACCATGGGAGTCACTATTGAAGGAATTGAGAGAGGGAAATGGGAGGACCAAATGGATGCAAAGGGAACCATATGCTTACTGGAAGGGGAATCCGGCGGTAGCTGCGACAAGGCAAGACCTCCTCAAGTGCAACGTCTCCCACCAACATGATTGGAATGCACGCCTCTATGCCCAGGTTCATTCTTTCTACATCTCCACCATCATTATATTCTTTCCATCAATTATATTACTCTGTTTGTTGAGTACAAACCATTAGACTAAAATCCTCTCATTACTCTGGTGATATGGGCTCGGGCCCAGACCATTTTTGTGTATTACTGGGTTGACCGGGTATTGGGCTACATTAGACCATATTTGAACGTTTCTAATTTGCTATATCCAGACACAGTACTAAAAGACACCATTTGCAGGACTGGATCCAAGAACTTCATCAAGGTTACAAGCAATCCGATTTAGCAAAACAGTGCAGTCATAGGTAATATATGCATTTCCTTGGATGTCAATATGCTACACATCATTTCTTTTCTGGTATTGTAAATTATGTAATGTCGAAGCTTTCACTATTTCTTAATTAATTCCTCTTCAAATTCATCATTATGTAGATATAAGATTTACATAGAAGGATCAGCTTGGTCGGTTAGTGAGAAATACATCCTAGCTTGCGATTCAGTGACCTTGATAGTGAAACCTCAATACTACGACTTCTTCTCAAGAAGCCTAGTACCTGTACATCACTACTGGCCCATACGAGATGATGACAAGTGCAGGTCCATTAAATTTGCCGTCGACTGGGGCAACAGTCACAAGCAGAAGGTTAGTATTAATTTATTCCATCTTTCAACCCATGGGAAGATTCATTCTCGTCTCGTCTACTATTTTTCTTCCTATATAATCTCATATTTTCGTGTACGTACTATAATTTATCTGCAGGCACAGGCCATTGGAAAGGCAGCAAGCAACTTAGTACAGGAGGAGCTAAAGATGGATTATGTGTACGATTACATGTTTCATCTGTTGAGTGAATATGCAAAGCTCTTGACATACAAACCCACTGTACCTCCACAAGCTGTGGAACTCTGTTCCGAGACAATGGCTTGCCATGCCGACGGATTAACGAAGAAACTTATGATGGAGTCCATGGTGAAGTCTCCTACCTATACAAAACCTTGCGCCTTGCCAACTCCCTTTGACCCTCTGGCTCTTCGAACTTCTCTAAGGAGAAAAGCTAATTCAATCAAGCAAGTGGAGACATGGGAGAAGAAATTCTGGGAGAACCAAAATAAGCAGCTCTAAAAGGGTCTTGCTTTTAGTGCTTTATACTTCTCACATCAACTTTTCGTAAATTACCTAGTCAATTGAAGCAATTATATATATATATTTATATTCAGATCATCGAAGATAACTAATATGATGAAAAATAAGAATTTGATTGTTACCACATTTTTGTCCCTTTTCTCTATTATGGTTCCAAAATCAGCTAGCTTGGTCTGCTTGCTTTGTTTTGTTTTATCAGATCTAAGAAGAGAAATGAAATAAAGGGTAAAGATCGATATAAAAATTGTACAAGTAACAGGGATATTCTTGATATATAAAAATGTGAAACGTTTTATTGTTGAAGTTTAGAATGGAAAATAGCGTGGATATTTTAGGTCTATTCCCTCTATGCCATGCTTGATGTATTTGTAGGTTGTAGCGGCTACGAGCCTAACCATCAGTAGTTGGGGAAGAAGATGAAGAGCACGAACAGAAATTTAAAATGGGGCATATATATTAGACAAAAAAAAATTGCGTTTTCCTGTGACTGGATCAAGCCAAATTAAAAAAAAAATCAAGCAAATATAGCATGCAATGATCGACTTGCTTTAAACTTTATGTAATGGACCGACACACTCTTTAAAAGAAAAGTAGCAGGACAAAAGGCAATAGGGGAAAGGCCTCACGCGTTGTCTCCCAAAGACCGCTTGGCTTTTTTCGTCTACATGACATAATGCTGTTTATTTCATTTCGGATCTCCTGCCCACAGGTACATCACAACCACACTTAGCAAACATTTTTTTTTAAAGGCAAAAAAAAAAAAAAGCACTTTCTTAGCCTAAGCCATAAATCATAATTTGCTCGTCATAAATCATAATTTGCATTTTTTTAGCCTAAGCCACTGAAGTACGAGAATTGGCACCATGAGAGGGACCTAAAATGTACAGTATGGAGCACCGGATCCATTATAATTTGATAGAAGTCCAACCCAAGTCTCGTGCAAGAACTTTGTTCCCACACTCTCTTCCGATCTCTCACCGCCCTGTCAATATTTTGGATAACAACACTACTCAATTCAACTATTCAAGGTGAGCATCACTAAAATACAAATCATCCCTTGATTGATTTTCAAATATTTGATAATATACACACATAAGCAAGAATATTAAAACTATCACGAATCGAGCCATTCAATAAATAAACCGAAGAGATTGAACAACCATATTTTAAAGGAACCATTTGAAGAAACACCACCGGATCTTAAGCCAAGAAAATTATCAGTCAAATGTTAAGAGCATGACCAGTTCCGTTTTTCTTCAAATCCGTTTTTTTCCTTAAAACCGTTGATTTTGATCAATAAACTGCTGAATCGGTCAATTAATTATTTAAAAGTTTTCATTTTTCATATTTTTTATTTTTAAAATAGACCTATGAACGATCCGACCATTTGAACCAATAACCAGACACCTGATCGATTCGGTTTCAAAAACCATGCTCTACATTTATATTTCTTGTAAACTGAGCCTTAGAGTCATAAACATTATATATGATACAGCCAAATCATTCAGCCCAATCAACAGGTGACACGTGAGGGCTTCGAGAGGCAGCCTTGTCGTTTTACAGGTCTCGGACTCAACAAACGTTGGAATAATGCTCGGGGACACATGGTCCCTTTTCTTTGTAATGAACAATCATGTGAGCCAACATGAGAACCGTCACAAAGCCCCATAAATGCTGCATTCAATAATAGTGCACCGCCTAGTAGGAAAAGAAAAGCAGATATCTTATTCTTACGCACTCTTTTGCTCTTATTTTAGCTATATCATCCCAAGTTACCAAACACCTCAATGCATCCGCTTTTGAACTAAGGCTATGTTTGGTTTGAAGGAAATAGTAAGAGAAGAAAAAGAAAGGTAAAGAAATTTTTATAAATCTTGGGGTACTATAGGGTTTGTGATAAAGATTTCTCTGTACTTTGTTTTGTGATAAAGACTCACTTGTATAATGATTGTAAGAAAAGACCCCTTTTTATTAAGACAAAGACCCCTTTTTATTAATCTTCCATCCAAAAAAGCCATTACAATATTTTTTAATCTCTATACTATCTTTAATAATGCGAATTAAAAATATTACGGTATCAGAATTGAATCCATTTAATAATCCCGACTATAACCAAATGGCGATTGGCTGCTGGTACAATTCTACTCGTACAAACAGGCAAATACTACGGCAAATACCACAGCCAAATGGCGATTCTCTGTGGCTGGATCAAGCCAATTCTCGTTTGAATCCCATTGATGCGGCAGCTAATTCTAATGCTTTCTTGGCAACGAGTTCAACGGGTTTTCCTGAATTGGTGCAAATGGCATCGACCAATATGTTCAGCTAGTGGCCATCGACGGGTGGAAATCTGTCTTTATCAACATCCCCACGTGGATTAAAAGAGGAGAATGGAAAGAAAGGCCAGTTGGTAGAAAGCTTAGCGCCTTTGTATTCCAACAACAACCAAAACCAGCAAGCAAACTCAGCCCACATGTCTGTGACTGCACTTTTACAGAAGGCAGCTCAAATGGGATCGACTAGGAGCAACCCCTCATTGCTCGGTAGCTTCGGAGTGGTGAGCTCATCTTCCTCAGATCAACAAGCTTCAATCCTCACGCCCAGAACAAAAACAAGTTCCACCAGTTAATGAGGCAAGCTGTAAAGCAACCGGAGAACATAGACAAGCTGATGAATATCCACGGCAACTGCCATCACCGGGGTTGGTGATAGAATGATGGGTGGGTTGAATTTAAGCACATTAACGGGCACAGTAAACAATCTCGACCGTCTAATGATCCCGCAGGGTGGAAAACAAGGCCAATCAGTTCCAGTTCCACAAAAGTTCCTCTCGACAGCAAATGAAGTGGAACACAGTCTTACGATTTCCGGCGTAGGAGGAGATGCCGGCAGGCCATTCTTACAGCAAGAGTTAGCGAAATTTGCTTCGATGGGTTCAACCTTGAACTTGAGCCAATACAGTAGCACCCACTGAACTGTTGCTCCATTACATTATTTTGACAAAAATCCTTGTTGTATGATACAATTACAAGCAGCGTAAGAGTAAGACAAACAGAACAGAAGTTGACTGTGGCAAGAACGCCTAAACTCTAAAGGCCTTGGTTACCGAGTCGGACCGGTCCGTTGAAGCTGCAAGGAGTTCTCCACACAGCAACGGCTGTGGCTGTGGCTGTGTCTGGGAGTTGAGAATGATTGAATGTGAATCGTCAGAGACGGATGGATGGCGGGCAGTTGTCAGTGCAGCAGGGGGAGTCCTTGGAGTCATGCATGTTGTTAGTTAATCTATCAGGCCTGGCCCTAGCTTTCTTCCCATCATTTCTTGCTTTGAAACTAAACAGTGCAGAAAACCACAAGATGCGTTGACTTCCGGCCAAAGTATACTGGCCGATGGTGTCAACGTTGTTTTGAATCTTCGGAGTTCGGATCGATGCGTTTCTTTCCCTTTGATATTTCTTCCAATTATCTCATCAGTTCTTCATCATTCGTAGTTTAAATACATTTTCTTTTTCTTAATTTCGTTTCTTCTCATCTAGATTACGTCTCTTCTAAATTCAAATATAATTGAGATAGAACGAACTCAAAAAGGAGTAATGAGAGAGGACGGTGAGGGAGGGGAAAAGAAGAGAAGAAAGGGAAATAACAGGTTAAATAGGTTTTAAGAGAAAAGAGAACAAAAAAATGAAATAAAAAAGTTTAATGGAGGTATTTTGATAATTTAACGGATTCCATCATCTCACTTAACGATCAAGGAGCGTCTTTGTCTCAGGGTCATAAGCGGGTCTTTGTCACAAAACAAAATAAGAAGGTTTTTATCACAGATCCTATAACACAGGGGGGTTTTGTAATTTACCCTAAATCTTGTATAGATTTTAATACCTTTTCTCCTAAGTGAACTAATTTGACGGTTAGAGTCTGCCTCCCAGGTCATTGACATCTTATATTTGCAAGTGGAACTCTTCTCAACTCCAAGAATTCCCAATTCACCCTTGTTGCCAAATGTGGTAACATCAGCACACATTGTTAACCCCAAATGCCCCTAATAACAAAGTTATTTTTCACAACCAAGTCATTTTAAACATCACTTCGAAATAAAGGATTTGACTTTTGGCTCAACTTTTAAAATTCTTAGCTTTTCCTGAGAGAGGTAGGGATTTACCAACATACCATCGCCTCTTCACTCAACCATATGGGTATATTATTCATTTTCATTTCCTTTATTAGATATAAGTATATAACAGTTAGTAGATGGACAGAGAAGGTCTCCAATGTCTTCTAATCGATCTCTGTAAGGAGTTTTTTTTATGTATCATATATGTTGGGTATTGAAATGCATTTGTAGAGGCCTGTAAGAAGTTAGAGCTGAATGAACCTTTGTTCTGCATTGCAGTGCAGATGTAATATAATGAAACAGATCATACTTATATTTTATTATTTGTTATATGGCGTTTTTTCATAAAAAAATATATATTTTGTGTCTGAAATCTGAAAAGAAGCATAAGTGCTTTTTTACTTTTTAGAGGCTTGAATTCATAAGTGATGGAAGGTGATTTGACCCGACCTCCTAAGAAGGTGACACGTGGACGTGACTCAGCATAAGTAACACCTCAGTGTGACAGCCTGGCTACAACTGAGTAATGAGCTCGTTAAAGTCCTCGAGGTCAGCTCGCTACATTGCAGCTCACCACGGAACGAGCTCGCTACAACGCGAGCTCAAGGACCCCAGTATGCTGAAAGGGAACTCTCCAAGCTAAGTCTATCCCAGCTCGTGAGCTCAGACAATCAGCTCACTCCAATACTTAGGCAAGGGGACCGCTTCAAAGGCAACCTCAGGCAGAATCACCTCGGGATACCTCCAGGAGCTCGCTACAAGGCAACTCACTATTGAGCGAGGCGGAATTCAGGAAACTTTTTACCTGACAAGACCATACCCGTCAGACTGCACCACGTCTCCTGACTGATGGCGCAGTCCCTGCTAACCCAGCGGACTGCACCCACGTCTCTCAACAGGTGGCAGTGTGTCTATCCTTTCCGGGTCATGTCTCTCATTTGATTGGGCAGTACTCTACAGCGGTTACCTGCGCAGCCCTGAAAAATAACGACTACGACAAAGGGCCAGTGGCG